TACTCGAGTATAAGCCGAGGCGGCTTTTTTCAGCCCAAAAAGTGGGCTGTAAAACTAGGCTTATACTCGAGTATATACAGTATTTCAATTTACATTGATACAAATCAGTGCACTTCAGTTGACAGCCACAAAATTATAGCATACAAATATTTACTAGAGCTCCTGTAAAATAATGTGTAAGAAGAGCATTTGGCCATGTAATTTAATTCTTTTCTGCACTCCATATCTCTTAATAGCACACCAGTGCAGGGGCAGAAGGCTCCGGCCAAGCACTGGCCTCCCCGGGCTCCTGCCTTGAAGAGTTCCGCAGTGCACCCTTTGTTGAATGCCATGGAAAGGGCACCTGCAATTATTACGCCAATGCCTACAGCTTCTGGCTTGCCACAATTGAGAGGAATGAAATGTTCAAGTAAGTTGGAAACTTCTTTTGTTAGCTGCTCTAAGATAAGCATGTTTTTACTTATGTTCCATAGTAAACATACATTATGACTGGATGTGGTAAACTGCTTTGCAAGTATTATCTATTGTTGTTTGTTTCCTTATGTTTGTAACTGTCCCAGTAATAGCCAATTTTGAGTTGGACCACCAAGAGTGGTTTTAAGCACTGTAGGCAACGTTCCAGTAATTGAAAATCTGCTCTGTAAAACAATGTCTCCTCAATCTTTTCTGCTGTTTATTTCAGGACATATTATATGTTGCAGGCTTCATTTGGCTACTGTTTCCACCTGCTTACCAGGAATATACAGAGCATAGGAGCTAATTTGAGCAAATTCACAGTCTAATTTCTACCAGCAAAATATCAGACCACCATATTTGTAGGCAGTTCCTATAACTTAGGATTTTGCTTTGCACCCAGGTTAAGGAACAAAGCTCATTTGATTTGTCCATTCTGAAATTCCCAACTTCTTTGTATCAAGTTGGAAAATCAACCAGAGTCACATTAGTAATATGAACAATCATATAAATCAAGTTAATTACATTTGAAGTTATGACAATGCTGAATTATGAGCAATTCTCAAAGTTCTGGCCATTGCAGCATCCCTATGATCGTGTGATTCGGATTTGGATACTTGGCACCAGCTTGCATTTAAAATGGTTTCAGCATCCTGCAGTAACATGAACAGCATATATGACCTCCCCTGCCAGCTTCCCACATGTAAATTCAATCAGGAAGTCGGCAGAAAATGTCACAAGTTGGTCTGGCATACCTGCACTTGCGCTGCATTGTCCAACTGCTGGCACTCAACACTGTGGCATTTACACACCAGCCTTCCTGCATTTGCAATCTCTCATCCATATCTAGCCTTCCTAAATTTACACCATGTCCTCCACATCCTGACCTTCTTGTGTGCATGCCTTACCATCCACCTCAGTCTTCCTGCACTCACACATGCCATGCCATTCACCCCTGGCTTTCCTGTGCTTACGTGTGGCTTGCACAAGGCCTCCCCAGGCCTCCCTCAACTCATGTGTGACTTGGCTGGCCCTCCCAAGTTCTCCCCCATGGCATCCCCATTGCTTCTCATCTGATCCATGGGTTTTGTGTTTTGAGGTTATGAAAACAACTGGCACTACTGGGATTTTTGTTGCTAAATGATGCAGGCATGTGATGTCACACTTTAAGACTACATCGCTTAAGAGACAATAATCCCAGTCCCTAATGCTGTTGTAATCCAAGGACTACATGTACATAAATGCCTATCTCAATGATAGCTGGATATAGGACTGTAGCCTGAGTCTGCCAAACTCAATATGGCCCCATTATGTACTCAAGGGCAAAAGTAAGCAATCACACTCTCTCCTAGTGATTTTGACTTCAATTCTTCTCAGCTCCAGGCAACTGGCCCATAGAAAGAGAGTGTGGAAATGATCATAGAATAAGTCTGGACTGGAACAACAAATCTCACCTTGCCATTGGCCTTTTCCTTGCTGATAGTGATTTTTGTTTTCAAATTTCAGGAAACCTACATCTTCCACACTGAAGGCTGGAGAACTGCACTCAAATATTAGCCGCTGCCAAGTTTGTATGAAAAGAACATAATGACTACCCTATTGTACCTAATTTCACAGTATGGTGCTATTTTGTTAACAGCAATGAAGCTTAGGCGTATATTCCTATGTACCTCATTGTTACCAGGTATAAAGCCATTAAGTGCCCTACAGGAAACTGCCTGACTGAATTCTCTGTTTTTTTGGCTTTTATTTGCTGAAGATACAGTGGAGACAATGCTTCAAATGGCACTCTTGAAGAAACCTGATTTTTGTATGTCAGTGTGATGCACTGAAACCTGGCTCTAAATTCACAAGTGGGAGGAAGGATCCAGTTCTGGGAGTTCCACAACTCCACAATTCCCTTTTTTCCATATGTATGCTTTATATATATATGGGGTTCTATCATAGTTAGGATAACTGTTAGACAAATTACCCCACAGACCCAGGATTTCTGGACCCAAAATATTGTTGAAGAGCAATATGGCACAGCAACATGCCAATTTCCTCTTGCATTGCATTCAAAGGACTGGATCAAAGAAAGCAGAGTTCTGGCTGAGGGATGGAAGGTTTCTGCTCTGTGGTACTACATGGCTCTTTCTAGTCTGCCTTCTTAGGGAAGTCATAGGGATGGACCAGTATGTGCGCAAACCCACTGGTGTTGAATATTTATATATTAGCCATTCTGCAAATGAAGCATTGAACGATCTTTAATTATAATGTATTTTTTCTCAATATCCACTCTCAGAGGAGCTATGAGAAATTATTAATTCTCCTAGATAGTGATCAAATTGGCTAGGAAAAAAACCCTAATCCACCACCAAGTGATTACTACAGTAATGTTCAGGCCTTCAGCAGCTTCTTTATGGATTTAATATTTTCAGAGTTTTAAAGCACTAATACACTGAATTACTTGATTTTAATATATATGACTTGGTGAATCTTTTAGTTAATAAACTCACATGCTTATATTGGGTTTCTATAAAAAATATGTTGATAATTAAAAAAAAATCATACATAAAACAGGTTGTATAAAAATTATATTAAAATACTTTTAAATATTGGCCCTCTTGCTAAATCTTACACAATGGACCTTTAAAAATTAGACATCTGTAATAAAATAATTTGTATAAAATGTTTTCAGAAATAGTTTGTTGATTTTTGAGAAGCTGGTTATGTGGATTGATTGTTACTTTGATTCCAAATGAGCAGCCACTATCTTAGAATTGATATTTGCAATTGTTCCTGTTCTTATCCTAAACATTATTCATGTGGATAAAGTGTAACATATCCTTTTAAACTATTCAGAATTGCAGAGTAGAAATATAGCAAATATTATCTTGCAAGCATTTGAATGGAAATGCATATGACTAATAAGCCAGAGCACTAATGTTTAAAAGTATATATACATAACTATACGGTACATGCATAGAATATCAGCATTGATGATACTTTCTCTGATACAACTGGAGTAAGGAATTATGCCTGTTGTTGTTGTTGTCAGCTATTCAATTGTGTCCGTCCAACCCTTGGTCACTCTGTGGATCAACACTCTCCCTGACACTCTATCTCGCATTGCCTCCTTCAGATATGCCATGATCGTTCACCATGGACTTGTAGTGTCCAATCAGTGAGAAGTAGGGCAATCCCTTCTCCTTTATCTGCTGATCTTATTATGTCTAACAGGTTAGGTATCTTTAAAGCCTTGGGCTGAGATAAAATTTATGCTGATCACTGTGAACCAAGATCACAGTGGATGAGGATGCTCTAACAGTATGCGTGAAAATGAAACGTCATTCAGGATGAAGCTTTGAAATTGATTTGATAGGAAATCTAAGCAGCTCAAAGAAGAATTAAAGACTGAATTGCACAAGTCAACAAACACTATCCAATAGGACTTGGTAGGTATGCTTGAAGAAATTAATAAATAAATAAAAGAATTGTCTTTTTAAATTTAGGTTGACCAGACTAGTGGTACTTAATGACAGTCTATCAGATTTAAAGTTTCAGATAAATATGGACAGTATAGTGCTTTTACTCCTAGGTTCAATCAGATATTAAGAACCAAGGAATATAATAGTTACATTTGTAAATGCTTGGATAAGAGGAAGAATTCTGCAGAAACATTTTTGCACTGGAAGGATAAATTAAAGTGTAATTTTTTCAAGATAATTAATTCAGTCATACTTACAAAGAAAAAAGCAAAGAGTATATAATTTATATTGTACATTCAGATATAATTTTTAGAAAGTAGCCTTTATGAATGGAAAAATAGAAAAACAAGCGTATATAAACCGAATCTAAAATTATATACACACACATATAAGGTATAAGATACATCTAATAAAGCTAAATAAAGCTCTTGTGGGTCTTTTTCAAGCCAAGTGGAATTTAGTCAAATTGGTTATTGAAAAGGTAATCCTATCACTTCAGTCAATTAGTTGCAGTGGTTTCAATCATGCTTCTATTATCATTTGAGTTGGACAATTTGGTGGAAAATGTTTAGAGTGAAACAAGTGCATGGAACTCTTACAGATGAAAGGAATATGCTCTTAAAATGTCTTTGCCATCAATTCCAGCCACTATTCCAACAATGCTGACATCATCGCATGCTACAGATCTG